TGAATGACTTAACACTATTTTTAATCCTCTCCAACTTCAAGATTATGAGTTTGTTTGGTAGCAATTAAAATCCAATTAAAATTGAAAATATAGTCGTTATTGGGTCCCACTCGTCTAATAAAAGTCAACAATAACGGCTAGTTTTTCAATTTTAATCCGATTTTAATCTCTACCAAATAAGCTCTAAAGCTATTAAAGAATTAAAATTCAATTAAAATTGAAATATAACCTTTATTGGATCTCACTCGTCTAATAAAAGTCAACAATAACGATTATTTTTTCAATTTTAATCCGATTTTAATCTCTACCAAACAAGCTCTATGATACTTTTTCAACGATCTTTTCATGTAAATATAGAAGAAAATATGTATAACAAGAGATTAGATATTTATTCAATGTTGTTTTCATGTAAAGTTATAAAGGTTTTAACAACTATTAATAATGGAGAATCCATCTTATGAATATGCTTGCTTGCACCAACTTTTTAGTTAAAACAAGTAATTTATTTTAATAGTTGAAAAAATTAATTTATTTTAAAACTCATTCAAAATTTGCCAAATCCAATATAAATTTTTCAACAAACAATATTTCTTTCAATTGGTGGGAATATTCCTTTCAAATTGAAATCGCTATATTTGAACTCGATGAAAATTCGAGATCCGATAATACTATATGTTATTAAAATTTTATATATTACCGTATTTAGTTCTATTCAATATTGGATAATAACTCAGTAGTACATGAATTTAATATTTTGATATGAAATATCTCAACTTAAGTGGGATGAAAATAGACAAGTGTTGCCACCAAGTCGATTAGCACAAAAATATGATTAAGATAGTCAATATTAAAAAGATTGCGCAAAGTGTGTAATAGATAAGAAGAACAAGGTGTTCAATTGGCAGTCATTGATTATCACTACCAATCAATCAATTTGTAGTAATATAATTGAGGCACACAACGAATCTTTATTAACATTAGACCAGATCACTAAATATCGAAGTTGTCACATCGAATTATATGCTCAATAATATATAAAGAGGCTCATTCATGTTTTTTTTTTCTCCTTATCTTGTTTTCAAATTGAGTAATAAAATCATGATTTCGTTGTGAATAAAAAATTAAGGAAAAAGTTTACTATTATGCCTCGAATCGGTGCGGAAGCCAAGCACCACCATAGAAGCAAAGAACACGCAGGACTATAACATCATGCCATATGGCAGCCTCGCGTAGTCATGTCAACGAGCATAGTCGAGCCGAGCCACGAGCCGAAACTCAAAGCTCGGACTCAACTCTAGCAAAACAGGTTCGAACTTTTTTAGGCTCGAGTTGAGTCGAGCCGAGCAAAAGTTCGGTCAAAAAAATGAGGCTCGACCCTTAGTGGGCCGGGCAGGGCTGAGCTGGTTCGAGTTTTTTTTTTAATTCGTTATAAATAAAAAATATAAAAAAAAATTTAAAAAAAAAAATTAAAATTTGTGCAATTTATACGTATTATAAATAATGACTAAATATTAATATATAAAAAATACATCTAAACTTAAAAATAATAATAATAAAAAAAGCTCTGCTCACGGGTTGGTCTCGAGCAGACACCCCAAAATGGGGCTCGGCCTGAGCCTCGACTCAATGCCACCGAGCCACGAGCCAGCTCAACTTGGGCATTTTACAGGCCAAACCTCGACAACAACAATACCATGCTATTACGGCCATAGCAAGGATAGTTACTCTGATTAAGCCTCACCCATATGTCGAACCCAATATTACTCGTTGAAGCCTTGATGGGATGTACGTTAGTCTACAATCTTGCTACCAAACTACGATATGATTCTATGGTGAAATCTCATAAGTGTACAGGATCGTTGACGAGTAATAAAGTTAGTAAGTTAAAAATATTTTTCTCTCGAGAATAGAATTAAGGTGAATTGTGTCGATTTGAAATTAAACACAAATATAACCAAATCAAATTATCAAGTATTGTTTTGAATGTTTATTCTAATTTCTACCTCAATGCACGAGAATAATAATTTTTGGCTTTTGTTTGATAATCATTATTTTCGAACTCTTTTTTCTATGTACTCATTTTTAACCACACGTTCAACAATAAAATATTCTGTACGTAAACTCAAAATTTTTTCTTACTTTTTAACTACACATTTTTCTAAAGATCACTATTCAAAACTCTGTTTTCCCCAAATAATAGTTGTCAAACAGGGGCTTAGAAAGCTTTGTATGAAAAAAGGGTGTTAGGGATTCGACTCAACTACTAATATCTGTTCTAATGCTTGACTTATATTATTCAGTCTAATTTTTATTTATACAATCAATAATTCAATTTTATTCAACAATCTCTCTTGATACAAGTTAAACCTATTTCTAAGCACGACAAAAACAAATTCCTATTCTGAATTCAAATACTTAGATATGTATTAAATCACATGATTACCTATTACGATAATGTAAGTCATAAAATATTATTCGTAACGTTTATTAAACTTTTTGTTGATCACAATGTGTTAAATCTATTTTGAACCTTCCAAAACAAAACAAGCAAATATTATCTAAACGGTGATCAAGCATTTAAATAAACAATAATAATATGATATCAACGACTCACAAATCAGACTAAAAAATCATTTGAATCAAAACGGTAAATTTAAGGTTTACATCTTTATACCAATACTCACAAGTTTAGCCTAGCGTGCTAATGATCAAATTACAACAAAAGATTTGGATATTTATCACACGGAAAATATATTTGTAAAGAAGAATGAGAATCAATTTCATCTCCTTCAATTCCTTCAAACGAGCCTTCAATTGATTTTGAATTATCCCTTGCTTTTAATATTCAATTCCAAGCTGTGATTTATTGTCTTAAATCTCTTCTTAGCCTTCTCCACGTTTTTGAATGAAGAATGTCGAAGTTTGCCTTCCAAATTAAATTAAATCATTGGTCAAATTACTTTTCAAGAGATAGACAAAACCATAAAATAAACAAAATATTTTACCTGTAATTGTATCATTAGCCCTTGAAATCGAAAAGTACAACTTATGCTCCAAGTGCAAGTTGGTCCTTGATTTCATTTTCCACCCTTCTATGTCTTATAATTGCAATCCAAACCATTGATCTTTCAAATTATGTCACGTTAGTCACCATTCTCTGAATTATGCATACATACATCATTTTTACCCCATTTTCGTTCATTTTCTCCAAAAACTAGTCCAAATTCGATATTTTTCTAAAAGAATAGTGTTTACACGAGATAAAGCATCCCTAAATGTACTACCAAATATCGACGATGGCCTAAATAAGTGTAAAAAAATACAGTTATCAGTTGAAAATTTAATGATGTGCAACTGCATATCTATGTTCCTGCTGCAGATTTGAGTTCCCAACAAGAACTATAGAGTTGTAATATTTTTATTCCAGAACAATATTTTTGGTGCGATGTTTTCAACTTTTTTGTACAATTATTTCAACTAGTCAAATAAAAAATTAATGAAGGATATGCAAGGTATTTAAAAATTTTAAAATGAAAACGAGTCCAAAATTGACATTTTTGTCAAAATTATTAAAAGATGACATTTTAAATGCCAATCTAAAAAGTGGTATGTGGTGGAATTTCCTCAAATTATATAAATTACGTCATCAAATTGAATCAAATTTCCTCAACCCTATTGAGTCATAGCATATGTTTTGGATTTCATTATAAGTAACTTATATGGAGATTATAATGAGAGGAGTAACGAATCAATGAAATATGTGAATAATAAGTTGATCGTGATTGTGAATGTATTGTTAAAATTGAAGTTTGATTGTCTGAAATTAAACCTAAAGGCACTAAGTATTGGTTTGGGAGATGTTATTTGAAGTAAAAATGTTTTTTTGAAAATATATGGTTAAAAAAATAGAGAAAAATTATAAATTCACATGTAAAATTATTTTGCTGGAATAACATGTGATTGAAAATAAATTTTTTTAAAAAAAAATCTTTATATAAGCGATAGGAAAAAAAAAAAAAAAAAGGCTAAATCCACTTACATCTTCACGGTCTATTTAGCTTATGTTTTAACTAAAAATCAGATTTTTAGTAAATTTAAAAAAAAAAATTAATAAAATATATGATTGAAAACTTGATAAAATCCCTTAAATGTACAATTAATTACAAATTTTGAAAAAAAAAAAAAATTGAAAAATGATTATCAAACATAACTTTATCCCCTATTTGACAATTATTGTTTCAAAACTTTTTAATTTTCATACTTATTATCAACCACATTTACACAATGAAGTATTTTGCTCGTAAATTCAAAAAAATTTCCTACTTTTTAACCACACGTTTTCTAAAAAATTACTATTCAAAATTCAATTTTCTCAAAATAATGACTTAAGTAAAGGCTTTATAAAATTTTGACATCTCACCAATTTTAACATGTCAAAACTTTAGAGGGTTATCTTTCAAAGGTGTGAGACAGTCAATAAATCTTGGCTCAAATCCAAATATCTAAGGGGACATATTGATATCAAATGCCTATCTAAGGCTCCATTTTTTCAAAAAACACATTTTTTAAAATTTATTTTTAATCATACATTCTCCTATAAAATAATTTTACACGTAAAACATAATTTCATTTTTATTTTTTAATCATACATTTTCAAAAAAAATATTATTTAACCCCTATTTGATGTCCATTATTTTGAGAAAAATCGAGTTTTGAATAATAATTTTATGGGGATTATGTTGTTAAAAATAGATAAACTTTGATTTTACATTTAAAATATTTTATTGCGTGAATATGTGGTTACAAATATGTATAAAAATTAAAGAATATTGAAACAATGTTTTTAAAAAAAACACATTTTTAACCAAAACAAAGGATCAAACAAGGGCAATATTTCTTTATTCCTTCTAAACCTGCCGTTCTAACAGGGTTTTGTGCGTTTCGCTTCAGAGCTAAAAATTACCCACACTGAGTGAGAGATAGAGAACGGCGCGAGAAAAATGGGGTGGGTCGGAGAGCAGATCGATTCAATCAAATCTCTACAGTTCAGACAAGTCCTCACGCAAGCGATTAGCCTCGGTTCGTTAGTTAATCCTTTCTATCAATCTGTATCTGTGTTTGTGATTTTTGATGCAGGAGTGCAGTATTTTTTCTTCTGTTTAGGTTTTCGTGAAATTTGATTATATATATATATGGGAATTTAAAACCCCTATGCCGCTTTTGATTCAAAGTTTATAAATTTATGATGTGTTGCTATAGTGCTATGGGATATTTGGATGACTAAGCATTTATACAATTAGATGTGTTAATAAAATAAAGGAAGCTCTTTTAGGCCTCATGTGAGATATTATTTTGCATTATTACGTTTACAATTTAACTTTTTTGGGTTATTCACGTTGAAATACTGGGGCCATGTATTATATGATTTATTTAGCCAAACCTTGTGTTTTAAACCGCATTGTACAAAGGATGGCGATATCAATTTACAGATCACTAGAGGTGATTAACCAATGGTGGTAGCTCTGCTTTATTCTGCTATGAACATTAAAAAGATTCTAGTTCCTGGATCTTATATAGAACATATAGTTTTGATATTGAAATCCCGTTTCCAGGCCATCACCATTAGTTGTTTATGAATGGACTCTTGGTGTTACGGAATGTTGATTATGTTTTGTGCACCTTCAAAACATATTATAATTTTTCATCTTTCTAGAGGGGCCTTTGTAGACGCTTCACTGGAACATATACGATGCTTCAATTGCCCTTATAATTAGCAACATTTTATAAAGCCAAATGTAATCTCTAAGAAGTTCATTAGATTAGTAGCACAGACAATGTGGCCATTTTCCTTAATGTGAATGAAAATACAGGAGTTTTTTCTTTCTTTTCTTTTCTTTTTTTTTTTTAATTTTTTCCCTTTTATTTCATTTCATCTCTGTGAATGGTCAAAACCATTTTTCGTAGTTTTTATTATGTCACTGTTCTTGACAAGCCGTTTACATTTTCTTTCAGGAATGATTGTAACATCTGCACTTATTATATGGAAAGGGTTAATGTGCGTCACTGGTAGTGAATCACCAGTTGTTGTTGTGCTCTCTGGAAGCATGGAACCTGGCTTTAAAAGGGTGAGTTTGTCAATAGCTTATATCACTTCTTCCTACACAAATGTGATGTTACCACCTAGTTTCAATGGATCTGGCAGTTATCAGCATCTAACTCTCGAAGGGATTCATGTCATCCCAAGTCATATATGTTAGTTAATTGATTATATGTGTGTGTCATAATAATTAATTCTTATCAGCCATGTAGTTGATTAATAACATTGCTAAGCACCTCTATTTCTTGGGGTTGATAAAAAGCATAAGTCAAGAGTATTCATTGTGTAAATCGACTTGTACTCCATGCTATATTAGAGTTATACTTTTTATGTTTCACTATTTAGGTAAATTCCAATTCTTTTTAATTTCTTCTTTCACAGATTCATTAAGATTTGTTATTAAACAATCAAAAGATCGGATCTTATGAGTATAGCTCTACACATACTTCGTTGCATATTCGTGTTGCTAGGTTTCATATGTTTCTTATTTTGTTACAAGATTTCTTATTTCCTGCTCTCCAAGTCACATGGACCTTCAATTGCTTTCGATATTAATCATTTACTTCTGTGCAGGGTGACATCTTGTTCTTACACATGAGCAAGGACCCTATTCGGGCAGGGGAGATTGTGGTGTTTAATGTTGATGTACGTAGTTCCAAATCTTATTTTGTTTTGAGTATCATTTATTTTTCTCACTTTCTTAGTCAACGCATGGCTTATTATACCCATATCGTATTAAGACAATGGGAAAAGTAATATATTTATGGATAACTTCATTTTTTTCAGTAAATGTTTAGAGGAAAATAAAGTTCATTTAGCATTAGCAGTAGAGCAAGTACTTGAAGTATGAGTACCTGTAACCATTGTTTTCTTACTACTTACTAGAAATCATCACCCACTTTGTGTATGCTCAACAATCTAAAAGGTACAAGTTTGAATTAAAATTTATTTATTTGTTTGGTAAAAGATGAGTGTTCGCAGTTCCTTTAAATTTATGAAAAGAAAAAGTATGACAGTGTATTTTTTGTAGCAAGGGTTTTGTGTTGGGGGGAGGGGAAGTGTATCTTGTGTGAAAACTTTTATGTTGTTTGATTCATGTCACTAAACTTGTGTAAGGAGATTAGAGAAAATTTATTCTAATATGCTGGTTCTTTCTGTAAAAAGAATATAGTTTAATGCCCGTATAATAAACGGGATAGACAGAATAAACAGAATATAGTTAGAAGGAGATTAACAGAGTGAGAATTATTGAAAAAGACTGGAGAACTCAATGAGGACTAAAAAATTCAATTATGACTAAAATGTTGATGTGCTGACTGCTGATCTTTGACCGATATAGTGGATGTTGAATATAATTGATGAAAGAGATGCATGATAAGTCAAAACTTATCAAAATTAGGAAGAGCAGATGAATGGAATAACTGGAGCAGATTAATTGAGCAGAAATTGATTTAAGAATTGTATCCAGCGAAGTGGTTCTAGCCATTGCATTGTCTTTGGAGGACTATAGTCACATAGCCTTACCTCTACATGCTGGGAGGATGTTGATGGAAAATTGACTCGGAATTTGTTGAATGAATTGATCCATTGTTGGATGTCTACTTCTTAGTGAATTTTTTAGTACTTGGACCCGGAATTCTATCGTGCTATTTTATCCTTTACGGGTGGGCAAAAAACTAATGTATTGATCAAGACTAAAACAAAACTAATTACACTGGCATGATTGTTGCTTAAAACACGGTTTCCTTGTTATCATGTACACGTACCCGACCTTTAGGTTTGAAAAGTTGTTTCCTTGCTTATCAATTGACTCTAAAATCAATATTTGAGCTATGGGCCGATCCTGTAGCAGGAATAGGGTTGACATTGTTAAAATATCAATGAACTTTAGATGTACTTGTGGATTTAAGTGAAACAATCGACATTTGATGGTTTTAGTGGATGTGGTGATACCTTGACATTCGAATGAGTTGAATGTCATCTATCTGATTGAAGCAGCAAGTTCAAAATAATTGCTTCGGGATTGATTCAAAACATCCACTCTTAATACGAGCTCCAGGATTTTAACTTGGAAAGAATTTTCCAAATGCTTTCATCGGTTAGATATCATGTTTTTACAGTCTTTTTACTGACGAGTATATTTCTTTCTTTTCTCTTTGTCACAGGGGCGTGAAATTCCTATTGTCCACCGAGTCATTAAGGTAAGCATGTTAGTGAATATTTTTTCCTCTTTACATTTGTATGTATCCTTGGGACTTTGGTAGTGCTGGATTTTTGTTAATAAAAGAACTAATAGAATTTTTTTTTGTAATGAGTGATTGGAAATATTGGTATTTTTTTTATATGGATAAGTGGGAAAATGATGATGAGGGAAGGCTGGGAAGGAGAAGAAGGAAACGGCAAACTTACTACATTATGTTACCTTTTAAATAATGTTGAAAAAGAAACTAGGCATAGGAAAGTAGGAAACAGTGGGTGTAAACACATGAAAACTCTTTTTTTCCCCCCACAAGATTACAGTAATATTATTGAGCCCTTAAATTGCTTATTCTTGTTATATCTCCTCTTCATTTGTTTCGGAGTAATTTCTATTATTTCTGCTTATTAGGAAGCCTGAAGGTGTGAAACTAGTCGATCTCTCAGCTAATCTAATTCAGCAACTTTGCATTTGCTTTGCATTCTTGTTGTCTATTGTTCTAGTCGCATTTAGTCGGTTTAATTTTTTGGTAAAGCAGTTTGACATAGAAGATTCAGATAGTAAAATTTCCAATATGGCATCCAATAGTAAATTGAAATGTGCTGACTTTGTGTCCATTTACTCCTGTTGGCTATTTAACATTAACAGAGTCTACATCTTGCTCTGTTGAGAGAGCTGGAATGATGAAGGCAGATGAGATTCCAGCATGGTGTAGGTTATTTTATCTTTCCGACAAAATTAGCTCAACTCATGAGGGAGTACAATTTAAGATTAAAAACTAGGGATCCAAGTCTGCCCTAGTCCTGAATAGAGAGAACAATTCTTTGCTGAAACTATAATGATATTTGAATACTCGTCTATTAAACTCTCACCTAATAATTTTTGTCAATTCAAATGTGAGTTCACGTTCAGAGGTGTCATGACATATGTTATGTTGCACCAACACCCAAACTGGCTGCAGTGGTTAAAAGTTAGTCTACTTACACATTTTTCTTGTTATGCTTGCCGTATAAGAGAAGTTATTTAATCTTCCTGTTGTCTCATTTTTCTTATTCTTCTTACTACATTTAAACACAATGTTACTCTTTTCTTTAGGTTCACGAGCGCCAAGACACAGGAGAAGTTGATATCCTGACAAAAGGTACCATCTATTTGAATGATTAATTTATGAAGTTATATCATTGTTATTCTAGTAATATTTGAGTCAATTTCAACTTTAATGCATTTTAATGCTAAAAATTCAGTTTACTATTGATTTCCTTCAATGCATTTGTCAGACAGTGACAACTAGTTATTTATGTGATTCTGTGTTTGATGTAACAGGAGATAATAATTTTGGGGACGACAGGCTTCTGTATGCTCACGGTCAGCTCTGGCTGCAAAGGCATCATATCATGGGAAGAGCTGTTGGGTAAGTTGATGGTTGGAAATGTTCTTGCACATTTTTATGTTAGATGGGCAGCTAGTTTCCCATGTTTTTAAGTTTTGGTTATAAGATAAAACGTAACTTATTTTTTCGGAATAATTGACCAACTTTTTGTGGTTTATGATGAATAATGAACTTTTCGAAAACTCGAATCCAGATGAACTTAGTCCAAGTGATAGCCCTTCTCTACAACACTCGTAGACATGTATTTGCTATGTGCGACCGAGCCAATTAGTTTTACCCCACAGGTTCTTAATACTAATACCATAAATAATTCCCATGGGTATGGTATGGTAGGGAAACAACCACTGCTCCATAAGGAAACTATTATGATCTTGCTTTAGAAGATACTAGCAATGTACTCGAACTAAATTGACCTAGTATTGTCAATAGTAGCATCTTTTCAAGAACTTCCGTTCTTTCTAAATTCTCGACATATTTGTAATTCGGAAAGAAATCAATGATCGATTGCAAGACAACAGGTTCCCTGGAGACTGCACAACAAAACCCATTTATTTCACTAGAAATCAATTGGAGTACAATTTACTTTTTCCTTTACTTCTCCAACACAACACAAAAAATGGGGAATAAAGACTTGTGCCATCTCCACATGGAGAAAGCTCCTGAGATTGAGTTAGTGAGGAGAAAAATGCCTTCATGAAAATAGACCAGGTTCCCTAAACTGGGGAAGAAGAGAATAGAAGAGCCGTAAAAAAATTTTCGATTCTGCAAGATTATTTACATCTTTGGAATACTCAGACTAAAATTAGCAATTTAGCCATGCCACCAATAAATATTGAAAAACATGGAGCATATTAAAACAAACTGGTGTCAAGTGGAGTAAGGAGGGATTTCTCCTTACTAAATCATTCCCAGGTGTTTTCTGCTTCCTTGTTGGTTATTTTAGTCTGCCACGAGCCTATTAATGCTGGCCCAACACAAACCACGTATCTTAATATGACAGTCCATGGGAGAGAGAGATTGTACTACACCTGTGTGGAAATGGTGTTGGATGTGGTGGGCCACCTCACTTTACACCTGTAAATAGGATAGATGGTGTAACTGTGATGAGCTGCTCAAGCTGTGCTGTAGGTCATTAAGGTTCGGCAGTTATAAATTAGCATAAATAATACTTGATCTTAATCATTTATTTTTATGCACTGAGCCTGAATGAGCTTTCTAAGCAAATATGAGGTGGTTGAGCAGCATGATTCATTCACTTGAATACTTATGCTTACAGGCTTCATGAACAAATTGGAGTTGAGTTTTAATAGGTTACTAGCTTCCAAATGTATTCTGACCTAGGATTATTGTGATTCCTGTGAATATAAAGTGTGACACTGTCAAACCTATGAATCGAGGGATTGATTTTTTGACTACCTGTGTCCTTGCTAAAGGTTATCTATTTCTTTCCCGTTTCTAATAATTTTGGTCATTTAAACTTTAGCCCCTGTTTGGTGCACATTTTGGGAGTAAGAATGCAATTTTACTGTTGATGTGATGGAGAATATGTGGTGGAAAAAGCAGGAAAAGTTATTGTTGTGATGTAAAATATTATTTTATTCAAGAATGTGTGGTTGAAAATGAGTAGAAGAATGAGAATAAAAAAAATAATGTGGCTCAAACAGGGTGTTAAGCACATTGCGGCCAGACCATTGACGTGCTTGGACATAGGTCACTAGTTAATGAGAAGCGTTAGTGGCTTTACATGATTTTATATTGTTACTTTCTCATTATTCCAAAGTCTGATGCATCATCTGCTCTCATGTTTCTATCATTGCAGATTTCTGCCCTATGTAGGTTGGGTGACGATAATAATGACCGAAAAGCCTATCATCAAGGTCAGCCTTTTGAAGCTACATTTTCTGAGTAGTTGTTTGCATAAACCGTTGATCACCCCCTCTTGTTTACGATTTTCATGCTGAGTTTAGTTAAATCATCAGAAAAAAGCAACAGCAGGTTTAGCGTTTCACTTGGTTTGTTTCTCTTGCAGTATATACTCATTGGAGCTTTGGGATTGCTAGTGATTACTTCGAAAGAATGAGGGTTATGAACTTTGATGTCGGACATCAGCACAGAGACTTCAAAAATTTGGCAGATCTGTATCTCTCATTTTGTAGACTGAAACGGAAAGGGGAATGGGAAACATTTTCTTGAAATTGGATTGTGTTATATCTTGAGCAATGTGCAATTCTTCTTCTGCTTTCTTATCCTCGTCTTTTTGTTTTTATTTTTGAGTTGAGCATGTTATCGCTGACACTGGAAATTGCTTGGAACGATTGATGACACGCTTATTTCCTAAATCAAATTTGGAATCGAAAACTCAAAATGATCATTTTGAGTTTTCGCTTAATTGTCTTGGCATTGGGTGTTCGAGGACTTGTTACTGTAGGTGACAAGACAATTGGAAAACTTAAAGCCTTATTACGCCTAGGTCTAGGCACGTCTAGGCTAATGAGGCCAGTCTGGCTCCACTTTTTGCAAGATTAAAATCAATTTTTATACCGTTGCAAAGTGCAAGTAGGTCTCAAGGTCAGGCATTTATTGAGAAGGAAGTAAAAAATGATGACAGCAACGGTACAATAACCGATTAAAATTCAGATGAAAATTTCTCCCAAATGGGCACACGATTTGAAGTATGATCATGCAGCTTTGTTAAGCCTCACATTTTTTTATTAGTATTTTGCTGTTATATGTCAGGAGTAAATTTGTCAACTTCATACAAATTACAAGTTTAGCAGGTCAATTTGTAAATTATGACTCAGAGCCTTGGTTCTCCTCTTCACTAATAATTTTGCTCTAAAACACCTTGCTGCTTCTCGTTTTTTCTCTCCTTTCTTGTCAATGTACATCAAGTTCGGGATTTTATCTTAAACACACCAAAAATTAATAGAATATCAAATCTGAAACACTCACAAAAGCCCAGTAACTTCGGCTTTCTGGTTTTGTTTCTTTTTTCTTCAAACGTCGAGAGTTATTTTAAGGTGGGTCGTTTGTGGATTTTAATTTGGTGGATTCTATTTATTCTTAATTTTGAAAATATTAAGGAAAAAAACAATTAATTCTTCCTTTAGTTTCTTTTGATATAATTTAAAGTCACGGATTAACGATTGTGCTACATGTACATAATGGTTTACATATACATGATGTGATGATATATGATTGGATAAGAATTTTGTCAACCAAATAATAATAATAAAAAAAAAAACACTTTTTCGCTCTTTTTATGGCATGACATCTCATTTGTATGTAAATCATTATGTAATTCTATCATGTACAAGCAGCATTATTCTTTTATTAAAAAGATGGGTGAGTTTCAGAATTGAGGAAAACGGGAGGAAATAACTGTGAATTCGGATTTTTTTTGGACCAAGTGTGAATTAATGTCAAATCATTTTTCCTTTCTGTATTTATGAAAAGTTTTATGGCATTATATCTTCTATATATTAAAAGTGGCTATGTAACGGAATTTCTTGTTTTTAACGGAAAAACTAACGGAATTTGTTGTTTAAACGGATTATGTAATGGAATTTCTTATTTTAAACAGGCAACTGCACCTTCTTTCAGTGTTTTTATCATAACTTTGTATTCCGATATCCGATTGAGGCGATTCAAAATGAGTTGGAAAGCTAACTCATCTGGCTACAACTTTGATTCAGACATCATTTTTCAATTTGATCACTTTCAATGTAAAAAATAGGTTTCAATATGAGACTAAAACATCGGAGCATAACTTTTCGGTTGGAAATTGATTTGTGATCATCTTTTGCCTAAATTTGATTCCATTGACGTCTTCCTTTATCCAATTGACTCCGAACACTCNTGGATCCCTTACAATTTAGCAATTTCTCCAAATTTGTCAACTTTTTCTTATTTTCTTCGATCTCACCAACTTACATCACAATATCAAAATCACACATCTAATTATTTAACAATTACATAAACATTACTTCATTAATTATTTAATTAACCAAAAAAATTACATCTTTATTAATAACAAATTAATTATTAAACAAAACTATTAATTATAAACTACGCAAACGTGCACTGCACCTAGTTAACAAATATGCAAGTAGAAATTATGAAGAATACCAACGTTTATTTTCAAGGCTTAGATTGGCAAACGATGTTATCAAAGCTGGGAAGAAAAGGTCGCACAACAAGAATTTACTCACTTAACGGCATTATTTGAGGACAAAAATTTTCCCTTTTTAGCTGTCACTATGTATACTATTAATTTCTCGAATGTGTTGATTATGAGCATTTTCAAATTGCCCATATTCTGTAAGAGACGACAAGATTCAATTGAAAAAGGCACGTTTTCAAACTGGACCTCTCGTTTTAGCACCACTTCATCCATAGAAAATGGAATAATGTTACTTGTACATAAAGAAGAATCTTGCTACATGTACATCAAAATTTGCATGACACTCTACCATTTACCAATTTAGAATACAATCAACTTTTTCATCCATTTTTTCCCCCCATGTCATTTTATCTAATCTATTATGTATATTTTTATGTACAAGTAGCAAAATTCTCAGAACCAATCATATATCACCATATCATGTGATGTAAACCATTATGTACACGTAGCACAATTGTAGAAAATGTACAGGCCATCCATTCCAACTCTTACTGATATCCCTATCTAAGTACTAATGAAGTAAACATAAATTGCATTAAAGAACGAAAAATACAGTCTGACTAGAAACTTTGATACTTGCCTATATATACATTATTGTTCACTAGTAATCAAATAAAATTGAATAGTGATTAAAAATTAATCAGGACATCAAGGTATAACTAAAAAAAAATTGAATTTTGAATAGCGAGTCTGCCTTCAGACCACAACCAAAGCTACTGACTTGAAAAACATCAAAACAGAAGATTAATAAGACTATAAGAGAAAATGCAACCTCTTAACTCTATTCTTCACCATCTCCAGCTCTGTATCACCAGCCGCCATCAATTCGTCAAAATTTTCAGTTTTTCCCAGAACTATTTCGATTAAAAAAAAAAAAAAACTGATTTCGTCAGGGGAAGTAGAGAGTTTATGCCTATGAAGAACATACAACAAGGTATAACTAAAAAAATTGAATTTTGAATAGCAAGTCTGTCTTCAGTCCACAACCAAAGCTACTGACTTGAAAAACATCAAAACAGAAGATTAATTAGAGAAAATGCCACCTCTTAACTCTATTCTTCACCGTCTCCAGCTCTGCATCACCAGCCGCCATCAATTCGTCAAAATTTTCAGTTTTCCCCAGAACTATTTCGATCTAAAAAATAATAAAACAGATTTGTCAGGGGAAGTAGAGAATTTAGGCCTATGAAACACATACATTGAAATGCCAATCCCAGGTGAGAATCAGTGCTTCACAGTTAACAATTACTATTGGAAACGGCTTTGCACTTGTGGAACTCGGGCATTAGAAAACAACTCATTCAGGTCTTCCAAGGAAAAAAAGAAAAGAAACAAAGGCTGTGATATTTAAGTGTGCACAGCCACATATCAGATTATATACTTAGTACTTACTTTAGCTTTTGAGATAGGTCGCCCTCTAGATTCATCTCTGATTTCAACAGTGGACGTCATGATCTCTGCAGCGCAACAGAATTATCTTTGTGATACATGAAATGATGAAAATACCAGGGTAAAATATTTAAGAACATTTACAGCAGGCGCCCCCAACCTAAGTAATGTAGCACTAGGGACTTCAATGGACAATTTCTGGTCAAAGCAGCTAAAAGGACAAAATTTGGTTGATAACACAAAATCTACCTCTAATTAAAAAAAATTAAAAACATCCTCCCTCCCCATCTCAACTTCCTTCCACCCCATCCCTGCCTCCAAAATGCCATGCCAGGCGAGAAGTGGGGGAAACCGGGGGTTGGAGAGTCGGAAATAGATGGTGGGGAACAAATAAGGCAAGGACGGGGAGCAAAGACTGGGACTAGGGAGGAAAGCAGATGGGAATGGGGGAAGTTTTGCTTCTTTTTTTCTACCTTTTCTACATTTCATCTTTTCTTTTTGTTTCTCTTTTAATTGAAATTATTTCGTTACCTACTTTACACCCTCAAAAAGTAAGTAGTGTAGCTTTTAAATGGCCAAATAGACAGAAGACATCCACTTGGGACACTAGTTGTACAAAATTTAAAAGTTGGGGACCAAATGAAACAAAAAATAAGTTGAAGCACCATTATGCATGGTAGGTAGGCCTGCAGTAATTTTCCCAACCTTGTATAACGTGACATTCAGAAAGAAATGTTCTCAATGATATACAGTGCAAAAGATAATCATGTGAAAGCTGAAGGTCTTAATCTTCTCAACTGCAAATTCATTATTTTTCAGAATTCCAGCAATACTCACCACTGTGGAAATAGCTGCAAATATAGAAGAGTGTTTATCAATAACGGAGGTAAATAATAAGTCATAAAACTTTAAAATGTAGGTAGAAGTTCACCCTCCCTAAGACAGGGAAAAGACTAAAATGAAAACTGAAAATATAACAACGCAGTCACCAAAACAAGAGAAACTGCACACAAACTATGAAACTGTCATTATGCAAATCATTGCTATGAAGAAGTTTCAGTGAATACCATCAAAAAGAATTGTATAGGCATTATACATAAAACAATTATAGATGGCTGCTCTCAATTTCGCTTTAAGTAAACAGCACAAGACAAATTGCCAGAATTGGCAAACAGACTCTATTTAACAAAAACCTTGCTTCATACTTAATTCATTTCATGTGTTTTTACGTCAACTTTTCCTATAAATATATCATTAATAATAGTTGTACCACATTTCGAAGCCACGCAGAGGCCCATTTTGAATGTGTAAAATTATCTTAATTACAATGGGAGGTTGACCAAAATCCTTTTTAATGGAAAATAATTTTGGAACAGCAAATTGAAAGAAAAATTCTCGGTACTTCGACATTACAATTGCCACTCCAGCANACAAAACATGGCATGCTCAATTATAATGCTGAACTTTTCAGTAGGAAGCGATGACTTTTTATGCCTGTTTTGTAGTTT